GAGAGAGAGAGAGAGAGAGAGAGAGAGAGAGAGAGAGAGAGAGAGAGAGAGAGAGAGAGAGAAAGAAAACATATATTCTTGTATACGTATACGCGTTCGCACAACACATATTTATAAATATATATGTATTACGTGTATATAGACGTAGAAAGAGGGCAGATCGAAATAAAGAAAGGAAGAAAGACGGAGAGAGAAAGAGTTAGAATTTCTCTCTCTCTCTCTCTCTCTCTGTTTATTTTTTTCTTGGTCAATTTAGTAATATAAAGGGGAGATAAGTGTGAAAGAACATTCGAAGATAGATAATTATCGTTGAATCGTTGTCCTGTCAGGATGCAGAAGAGAGACGGCAGGGATGGCCGCGAGAAGGAGCTTGGCCGTGGGTCCGATCGCGATCAGCAGGACGCGGCGAAAAGGGCCTCCCGTGGTAGTGGAAACGCCACGAGGTCCAACGTCCATTCTTCGAGGCATAGTGTCACCTCTTCGTCCGCTGTCCTGATGGTCGGCCCGAACTTTCGGGTCGGCAAGAAAATTGGCTGTGGTAACTTCGGGGAACTTCGACTTGGTGAGTCTTATTTTTATTATTCATATTTTTATTATATATTATCTATTATTATTATAATTATAATTATTATTATTATTATGTACTATCATTATTATATACATGTTATTAGAGTTGACGAGTAACTTGATTTTTCTTTTCGATCGATCTTTTGATGTTTCGTTAACTCGAGTAATAAAATAATCGAAGAGATAGAGAAAATGTAGTGATCATAACTAAGGGGAAGTGCTGTCTCGTTAGAAACGCGCCTTAAAAGTGGGTCATTTACCGGTGGGACGTCGTCGATAAAACAAAATGGAGCCAGGCGAGCGCGTCGAGTCGGTACGGGTTCTTTTGCGAATCTAACCGAAACACCTGGCTAATCTCTTCTATATGCACTTTTCTTCCGTTTCTTCCCATCTTACCGCCAGCCTCGCCTTTCGAATGAGTATGTATTACGAATTGAGTATGTCCCTTCTTTTCCGTTTCGCCTTTTTATATTTATGTTTATGCTTGTAATGTATATTGATATATATAATACGTATATACATATATATATATATATATATATATATTTGGGGATGTATTGAAATTTCTTTGTAAATAATGTAAATTATTAACTCCGTCAATTGTATATATTACACTTTCAACAATGTTTCCCGATTCGGAACAAAAGTAGCTCTGTTCGCGATCGGTATGAAGTATATATTTACACAGGAGATTAAACTCTTCTTTATAATTATACTTCCCCTACAAAGAAAGCTTCTATCTTATCCACGAGCAGATTGCATATAGTAAACGATTATTTTTTATCTCTGGTAAAAAGTAACAGACATATTACAGTGTTTCGTTAAAACATTTTAAATAGAATATAACATATTCAATCGCAATGTAATCCAGACTATGCAAATGAAACTTCGACATGACAATTACTTATCAAAGAACATTCGAATATATTTCATCGAAAAAGCTTTCACTCGGTCTGTCGTCTAATTCTCTTTGGGGATACTTTGAATTTTCAGCTTGTACAAGTACGCGAATATGCTCCTGTATACTTTAGCAAGACGCTAATTTCAATATTGGAACGTTCGATTTGCAAATGGATTTCGTCATACGCGTGAAATTATTTTAGGATACTTTCGAACTTAAATATTCTTGGATATCATTGGATGTACAAGATATTTACTTTTCTGACAGCATATCGAGAACACAAACACGTAAAGAACTTTTGAGAATGAAATTATTTTTCTGTTACTTCTTTTCTCTTGTCTAACAATAAATCAAATTCTTTTACATATACAACATAAACGCATAATTATTGTCTTCATTTATAAAAAAAGAAGTAATCAGAGAACGAAATTATGTGTTGGCGACAACGTCGCCATCGTGAATTCGTAAATGAAATAATAAATGTAATTTTTGTATTGCAAGTATTTACATCCACAGTTATGTCAGTAAATACATATTTCTGACTTATCACATTTTAGAATTATTAGCAAACGCAACGATGTTTTGCAAATCCTTATCGTTACTTTGCCTCTTTGCACTTGCGATCATTGATAATTAAGATTTTAATTTCTACGAGTCGTACAAACACAACTAATCCAAACTTCATTTGCGGAGTCTAATTGACGATAAAAATTAGTTCTTGTCATAAAAACATTTAAGATTGATATAGAAAGCAAAATAGTACTTATTGTTTTTTATTAATAAATTATAATTATAAGAAATGAATATATGGATATATAATATTATAAATACATGAATTAATATATAATATAATAAACATAAAAATATATATGTTTACACATATGTGTGTGTGAACGTATTCCTTATTTAACTCGCATAAATTTATTATACTTGCTAATAATGATTATATTTTACCTGTTCTTAACTGTGAATGATTTAGTTTAATTGTCATTAAACATAGTAAATAACAAAGATTTGTCGTTTCGTCAATTTCATATCGATCTTTTTGTTCTCCTTTTGTTTTCATCGATTATATCAACCAAATACATAATTACAATTAACAATTCGATTTTTTTTTCTTTTTTTTTTTTTATCATTTGAATGTGAACGCTTAGGAGGGTGTCGCGCTGAGTTCACTCATGGTGAGAGAGAGAGTCCACGATAATAACGAATACACGGCCAATGTTATATAACATGCAAAATGGAATTAAATAAACAAAAAATTGTCTCGGGCTCCTAGAACAACAGTTATAGAATATTGTTTTGTATCAAGCTGATCCGTTGGTGCATGACCTATATACAAATCATATCTTCATTTTTTTGTTTTATTTGTTTTCTACGTAAACGATGTCTATCAAAGTCGAGTAATTATAAGATGGAAAATTTTGCTGATTGCTTCTACAAAAAAAGAAAAAATCTCTAGTACCGAGGTGTGAATTAGCTTCATCTAATTTTTTTAGTTCAATGAGTTTACGAAACTCTTTCAACGAATTTAGTTTACAGACCAACAAATCCGAATGCATTTTTATTAATACGAACTCTTCTCTGTAGTTACACTTTTCGAATCATGCATTTGATCGGTTTTGAAAGTGAAACTGACGAATTAGTTCAATATTGAAAGTAGAAAGTATCGATTTGAAGTTATATTTTGTGAAGGAATCAGTGAATTCGAAGAAAAAAGTTCGAAATTAAAGCGTGTTTTATGGATGTTGAACATCGTGTTCTGTGAAACATTCTTTTTTCGTAGACATAGCACAGTTATACTTATCATCCGGTTAGATGACCAACCAACCAACCTTCCTACGATGTACTTACACACAACGGATCTTTCGTTTCGTTTCGTTTCGTTTGAAAGGAGAGAAGAAGAAAAAAAAAGATGAATTCCTCCAAGCTAGAATTTCTTTAACATAAGATAGTCCAACTCTTGTGAAATATCTTGGAGTTACGAGTACTGTATTGGAATCAATACGTTTCTTTCTTTTTTTCTTCTCGTCAAATCGGATTAAGCGATTCTCGTTCATCTAGAAAATGCACTTCGCAAAAAAACATTCCATTGTTATATTTATTTTTTCTTTGGAGAAATTCTTTATGGTCTTTGAACCCTTTTCATTCGGATCGATATCTATAGGTACTTAAAAATCAAAAGATTTCATTTATATGGTTTTATGAAATCAAAAGGATTCGATTTGTTCGTTCGTTTGCACTATGATACTGATTATTATATTATTCGTTATAATGAAAAGTAAATATTTTCTTTTTTATTTTTTTTTACTTGTTAACGAAGAAGTTAGACAAATGATAACTAATAATATCTATAAGCATTCTCGCGGGAGAAGGGCTTGGCGAGGATAGGACGAACGTGTGCCAGCCACTAACGTTGTTATATACATATGCGTGCATTATTAATTTATTACCAATTTCTTTGGGGTGCATTGTCACATTCGTGGGTCGTAAATGCATTTACCAAGGGCAAATGACCCATTCTACTTATGTTACATACGTATGTACACGAGCCTATGATTTATGATAATAAAGTTTAGATTTAGAAATTATTTCTAATGAAAAAACTCAAACTATTTTTCATAGGATAGGCAGAAAGATTTAAAATTAAAATTGAAGTAGTATAATATGGATGCATTTACTTACAATTATGTGTTATTAATTCCTCGACATATAAATTATGTCTATCATAATACAACATAACTTGTGAAACTTTCTATTCATTGTCTTTTCCTTACTATGGTACTTGAAAAGTTTCGTCAGCTAATAATAGGTCATGAACTTACGTAAGTAAGCGTTTTGTTTACCTTTCGCGTAAAACTATGTAACGTCATAAAGTTAAACTGCAAAGATATACTTTTTTTTTTTTTTTATCGATTCTTATTTATTACTTTATCGTCGATATAACGAGTGTTACTTGTTAAATCGATTTGCGTTTATCGGTCAAATCAAAATTTCATTACATAGCTTAATAATTACAAGCTTCATAAAATCGTAAATACGTATTGGAAAGTATAATCGAATAATGTAGGAAGATGTTACACAAGTAAGGAAATGATCGATAGTTTAATTCGATAGATAGATCGATAACGTTAATTGATCATTATCGACATCTTATAAATCTATGTAAATTATCCTTTATCGTACTCTCAATTCGTATAAAGTCGCTTATAAATATCGATAGTATATATTGACTCGATAGCATATTTGACTCTGTATGGTATAGCTACTTTTACATTGCTAATGTAATCGTAAGCGAGCTGATATTATGTATTATATTTACGATTCAGAAGTTTTTACAAATCGATGCCTCTCAGCCAACCACCATCGTCCGTATGCTTCCTTTCGGAAATAACAGTTGTATATTTAGGAGCGAACGGAACCTCGATATACGAACGAAAGGGGACACAGGAAGTACGAAATTCCAAACCCGTAGAACCAGCAAACAAGCAGGCGGCAAGCAAACGAGCGAGTAAGCTGAGTGAGTTTGGTGCACGTAAGATCGACCTTCCGGCCGTCACCGTTTCGGTTCTATGCGATACTAAAGGGGCTTTTAAGTCGATATCATGCTTTTCAACTTGATCTTCCCACGGTCACAAAATTCATCGAATACTCGCTTTGTGTTAGAGACGTCCTTTACCCTTCCTTCTCTTGATTTTTTTTATTTCTTTATTATTGAAGTTTGACTCGTAGAAAATTTCTTGAAAATCTATTTTATTCATTGATACTTAAGATCTTATCTTATCTGTGATATCTAATCAAAATCGGACATAAATTCTTAGATCTGCTGTACATTTTCTTGGAAATTTTTTTGTTCTCTCAAATTTAGATTTTATGAAATCTTAAATAATGTATCAAAATATATACATTCATTTTTATTCATTGTATCCACGTGTTAAATTAAACAAACGTAGAATTTAAAACTCTTCTGAAGAAAATAGATTTTGGAAAAACTCCTTCATTGTATTGTCATTCTGGAAGGAATATCGTCTCCCCGTCAGCCCGGTTTTCGGTCAGCTGATTCACATCGGGTTACCAGCTGACTTTTCATTTCTTTTGTCGACAGCTTTCCAAATCGAGCTGCAGGCAGGCAAGCCTTGCATTAGTATATAGTCTATTTTCCGAGTTTGAACTACGACCGGTTCGGCGCCCCGGAACGTTGGCGTGTTCAAGCGCGTGTCTGCCAGGTAGAAGAGAGAAATAAACAGAAAAAGATCTATATGATCCGTTCGCAAGCCAAAGCTAGTTAACTCCCTTTCCAAAATATTGTTCAATTTTAGTGGCAAAGAACGAATGCGATTTGATTGATGTTGAATTTTGGATTTTATTTAAAATAAATGTCCTTAAAAATGATCTAGAACAGAAGTGAATGAGAGAAAAAAAAAAGATGATCGTTGTATAATAAATAATACAACACAGCGTATATAAAGTTATACATTTTATTGTACTTTCTGTTTTGCGTAGTTTAAAGCGATTTGGCAAATGAGCGGATCGTATATTGAGAGAGAAGCAGAAGGAGTAGAGGATGGCGAAGGTGTTCTCACATAGAACAGAAAGAAAAACCGAAGCTTGGCAAGTCTTCGCGAGAGAGTTGGATGAGAGAAATAAAGATAGAAGAGGAAGGAGAGATGTTCTTTCACACGCATAAATACGCATAAGAAGGAGAAGAAGGTTCGAGGGCAGGTAGCAACCTGTCTGCTCGGAGTCAACTCGCCGGCTCGAGTGACTCAGGAGAACCTGATGACTGCAAAGTGAAATGAACTCGGTCCCGGATCCGGCTAGACTAGCCTCAACGCCGTCTAACGTTCTTTTAACAGTGTGCGTTCGCGGTTCTTCATCGCATAACCTTCTTTTCTATAATAAATGTGTACATGTGTGTCTGGCTGTTGCTCGATGTGTGTGGGACGTATATGTGTTTATTGGGTAGAAACAAGTCGTAGCATGCAACGACGAAGCGCCAATGAAAACGCTATATACTTTCGACGAGACAACAACCGTTGTTGCTACTCCTTCTATTTATTCCTTATTCTCTATTTTTATTTCTATTTAATCTATGCATTTTGTGGATCCCACATTTACACGTGCTGCACTTACATGCTGCCCAAATTTATTTCGTGTGGGCGTGTGAGAGAGAGAGAGAGAGAGAGAGAGAGAGAGAGAGAGAGAGAAACATTTATTTCGAATTTGAACAATTATGTTTTTATTACAAACATGTGTGATAAATCCTTTTTCTTTTTTTTTTCTTTTACCTTTCTTCATTTTATTTCTTTTTTTTCCACGGCAATTCGGGATAGGATAGTAATCTCGCGTGATTCCACGGCAGAAGGAATATCGATTTTGTGTAGAGCCGTCTCACCGAGAGAAAGGGAGACCAAGAATTCGATAGGAACATCCTGCTACCTCCTACCTATTCCTTCTTTTTTCTTCTCTTTTCTTCTCTTTTCTTCTCTTTTCTTCTCTTTTTTTCGAGTTCGACGATGTCTAACAACGATTATCGGGTTTTCGTCGAGCCGATTCGAGAATTCGTCACTAGCTTGTAACCACGAGAAACGTGTTTTAATTACAGATGTTTCTTCTGTATATATGTGTTGTTTGTTGAAATACTACTATCATAGTTACGTCAAGTTTATACATATCACTCATTAATTCGTAAGCCGAGTAAATAGAATTAGATCGTGAATGGGAAGAAGTTTCTTTGGCACGGTACATTGTTTTTCTTACATTGCTCATTATTTTCCTCCACGCGAAATATTTTATATGCATTTCTATACGTAGTTAGAAAAACATAACGGAATCTGATTTACATTCACGTTCATTCATTTATAGTTAAAAAAAAAAAAAAAAAAAAAAAAAAAAAAAAAAAAAAAAAAAAAAAAAAAAAAAAAAAACCACTTGTATATATGTATGTATATACATACATGCATGCATATGTGTATATTATCTCTGTCTCCTCCTCTATGAGTTTTTCGTTTAGAGTAAACGTGCACGTGACGAACGTATTGTATTAGCGATCATTGACGTTTCTCTTTAATTGAGTTGAATCGATATTCTGACGTATATCATTTGGTTCGTATCGCAGTTAATAAAATCATAGTAGTATTGACAATGCCCTATTATATATCACTCTGTGATAACCGATTTAGATATTTATTTGAAAAAAAAAAAAAAAAAAAAAAAAAAAAACAAAAGAGAAGAAATTTACAAAGAATAGTTCAGTTTTGAAACGTAGATCCTTGAGAGGAGAGAAAGAAGTTGTCCTTGAAATTTTAGCACGAGTCCTTTTCTCAAAGTCCATGAGGAATCTTTGTCCTTTCCCTCTTTCAAGATACGTTATAAGAATTTTAATTCAACAATGTTTCGTTAATTGCATTCTAAGCCAAAGCAAGCGAGTCACGTTGAATTTTAATAAGACCACCTTTCCTTTGGATTGAAAGTTAACTTTTTCGTTTGTTAATTCGACGAATCTTGAAAGGAAAGAAAGAAAGGATCTTTTCATTTTTCAGATCAAATGAAATTCTAAGATCTTTCAATTCCGGAAATACACGAAATGTTTGCGTGTGTCTGTCCTCCCTCTGCTCTTGGAAATGTCTCGCTTCAACGCCTCTCCATTTTCTACGAACTACTTGGCATGAATAGCTAGCCTCATGATATAATTGAAGGGGAGTGAGTGAGACATCCTTGTAGGTGGATTTATCATACAATCATTTACGGATAAGGTTACAACGTAAGATCAATTATGCTGGACGTAGTTAGATAATCTGAAAAAAGATATTACTTAAACCCGGTTAAAAACTTGAAGGTTCTACTTAGAAACGAAAGCTTTCCTTTCGAGATAAACCGGATTTTCAAGTAACTGGTATCTACATACATTGAGAGGTATCCGTACATAACTACATATAATTCTAACAAACTTGATATTACGAGACAGAATGAATTTTTAGACGTCTACCGAAGCGAAAATAATCGATTATATTATATATATTTTTATACGTATACGGGTAATTTTTGTTTAAAGGAAAAGTAACAAGAATTTCTGACATCTATTCTATATAAAGATTTATAACTGGACAATTTTATTTCATACAGATTATTAGAAAATTTTCAATTAGTTTTATTACAAAGCGCTCATTTTCGTACGAGCGAACTACGTACGACTTCTAAGAAATCTTCATGCCAGAGGACACAAATTAAACTATAATAATTACAACGGATCTGTTTCACCGTCGTAAAATCGTTAACGCATTATTCGTACTCTCGTTAGAGAACTGTGATTAGTTATTTTATCATCCATTACCTATTGTCAATTTTTTTCAACCATTTTATATTGTCACTGTGTAGCATTTCCTCCTGGTTTGTACTCTTCCTCTTTCTTTCTCTCTTTTCTACTAGCATACGGAAATTCTCAACAGGATGTTCTCTCTATGAAGCGACAGGAATGAACGTTTCAGTCATTTACGTGAATGTAATTATTTTAAGGCGAAACTACAAAGCTTTTTCATTAAATTATATCTTTTTTTATTTTTTATCTAAAAGATAAGTCGATATTTATTAAATATCTTAATCGATGTTTATTAAAGGATGTCTCGTAAACAATGTATTCAATATTTTCTTCGTTAAAATCACTATTGTTCGTTTAAATGAAAATTTCAATTTTGTTTAATTAAGAATTAAATTTGTATAGGATTTATCAGTTAGCTTTTATGAAATTACACGGAGATTTAATTCCATTGAAAGCCAACGAAGTACTTTCCCTTTCTATTCTATGTTCATTGAACTCTCTTCCTTTCATTACGTGTCACTGCGAACCGAAAATCGTGTGATTCACATATGTCATTGCTTTCATGATTTGGGTCAAGTTTATGACAGATATTCATTCGAGTGATATTTATTACAGAACTTTATCATAGCTTTGCTATGATTTCGTTTATCAATCATTTCTGGGAGTACTGTATTTTCAAGAACGTCAATAATATTTTAACTATCCTACTTCTTTTTTCTTCTTAATCCTATAATTTTTCGTTTCGAATAGAGATCAGGAATGTGAAGAAACAAGTATAGAACCGATTTTTTGGAAAATATGTCTGATTTAACTGTTTGAGTCCCAAAAGTTTTTAAAATAACACTGTCGAAAAATCCCAAAAGCAGCGCGATATCGACGCTACTTCGACAGTCACTGACGGATTTTTCAACACAAAATCTGAAGAACGCGATCGCGCTGCTTGGAGGACTCGAACGACGGTTAAGAAAGAAATCTCGAATGAATTGATTGCGAGCGAAAAAGCAAAGTTTATTTCCCTTATTCCAGAAAAAGGGCGGAATGTAGAGCAGAGCAGAGCAGAGGCAGAGTAAAGCACGTTTATGAGTTCTGGATCACGATGCTGAAGTTTTACTCGCCTCTTCAGTGTCCCACTTTCGTGATGGGTTGCGTATGGCTGTGTGTGTCTGTGTCTGAGAATGTATTATTTTCAACGTTGTTTAAATAGTCATTTGATATTCTATAGGATATCAAAGTATATTATGTTCGATGCCTAAGAAAAACTCTCCAAAAAGTCTTATTTCCGACTTCGTCTGAAGGCTCTTCGCATTCATAGTAATGCCGATGAATTACTAGCAATGACGGATTTCCGGCTTTGACGGTAACATATATACAACATATTTTTTCCATTTATAAGCGAACATACAAAAGGGTTACATACGCGAAATATGTTGTCTCGATTAAACGATTGTTCTAATCAAATTAGTCGCTTATTTTACTTAAGTTTTTCATCTAAGCTTGAAATTTGACACGACAAATATTACGATTGTACTGTAATATAATAGTATTATAAAATACGATATCAAATAGGATGCTCATAAATATTGTTTTAAGTAATAACGATTTCGATCATCCACCACGAGATTTCGGCAAAGATACGATATTTCCGCGATTATCTAGAGCGTATAAATCTAAATTGAGGTTAGCGACCGATTATCGAGAAACCATTTTCTTCTCACCTCGAAGTATAATTTTAGGATTTATCGAATCGAAGAAAAATCCCTTGCCCAATCTGGATGGCTGTGTTGTTCGTTGTATCCTTTCTAAAAGAAATCTCTTGAATGATTTATTTTTAAAAGCTAATTGTAAGATTCACTACAAAATTCTGTTTATACTTCTTTCAGTACTTCTTTCAATCATTGTTTGGAGAAATTATAAATATTCTATGTTTACTGAATGAATATATATATATATATATATATATATATACTCGAACAATCGTTTCCTTCTTCTTTTCATTATCCCGGATACTTAAAAAAAGCTCGAAGGTTAAACGACGATAACTTGAGAATCTTTTTAATAGACAACAAAATGAGGATAATAAGAATAAAAAAGAGAATTAGAAGGAAAAGTGTTTGGTTTACTAGGAATTCTTAAATGTGGGAGGAACCAGAGAAATATATCGTAAGACTTTCTCCTCGATTCGTATATCGATCCGTCGACAGGAGGAGTATCGTGTACGAGGGCGAAACGTACAAAGAGAGATGAAAAGAGACACTCACGTAGAACAGGAGAAAAAGGAACAGAAGAAGTGGGATTAAGTTCGCAATACGAGATGCGAAAGAGTTGCGGATTTTGTAGCATAGAGAGAGAGAGAGACAGAGAGGTAGGTAGGTAAGTAGGTAGGTAGGTAGGTAGGTAGGCAGGCAGGCAGGCAGGCAAGCAGGCAGGTGGTGGATTCAAACAAAAGAGTCGAAGGAAAAATTCAAGGAGAAAGAAAAAATACTCGAGTCCTCCTCGGTATACCTACCTCCCGGCTTATGTTATAACAGTGTAGTGACCACCTCTAAAAGTACTTCTCGCTCTTTTTTATTTTTCTTGTTTTTTGTTTTTTTTTTTTTCATTTTTTCATATGCTAAATTTTTGTTCTATTCTCCCTGACCTACATTTACATTTACTTACATACGTCTGAGCCTCTCTCCCCCTCTCTTTCTCTATGTTTCTATCTTCGATATAACGCTATTTGTTTCCTCTCCCTTAATCTCTTTTCTCCCTCTCTTCGTTCTATTTAATTCTTCTATGTCTACGATTCTGTGTGATCGATCGTTTCTCCCTTTTACTTTGTCACGAACACGTTTCTTCCTTTCTTTTATT